TCCGCGGCTTTGCTCCGCGTCTCCCTGGTCTGCTGGGGGGTACTCCCCCCTCCCCAGCAGACCAGGGAGACGTTGAGCAGCTTTTCTCGCCCCGGAGGACATGGGCGGCGGGACTGCAGCGCATCTGGGCGTCCCGCAGCTCCAGTCCTCCGGGGCGAGAAAAGCCCCGTTCGTAACTGCGGATCCGACAGATCCGCGTAACTCGGGGACTGCCTGTATATCTGTAGAGCCATCGGAAAACTATGTACATGTTGTCACATTATTGAATTTTAAGGATCATTGCTGCACCCATGGGAGTAGGGTGTTTGCCCCAAAAGTCGGTACAAAGGGGGCCATGTGAGGTTTCATGTGAAAGCTTATGTTCTACTGATTCTGTATATGCCATACACGTACTTGTATAATATCTGTATGTGGAATTATAAATATGTACTCTGGGTTGATGGTGGAAAATTCTCTGAGTCAGAGCAATGTGCCAGAAATGTTTGTTCAATGTCTATGCTAATTAGTGAGGCTCCATGGACAATAGATCTCTAAATGCCAAAGACACACCTGAAGGAATGTATCTGGCTACCTGCAAACTAGCCAGGGCATAATGGCTGCAAGCATGTGAAACAAGGATAGATCCCTGAACCATGTGGCCTACTATGGCCAGGAAGATGCCAGGAGAGGCATGTAAATGCCACGTGGCAATCTCCATCTCGTCTTGAGTTCAGCTCCTAATCCCAGATGCAGCCTTGCAGGGAACAACAAACTGGGAAGAACCGTGGACCCATCCTGACCTAGGATGTACATCAGAGACTTTTAAGATAGCAGTTTATAACATCTCTGCTACGAGCCTGTATTGAGAACTGCATGTAATATATTTTAACAACCTTACTCTCATGCTTTTCTTCCTTATAGTAATAAACCTTTAGATTTTACATTCTAAAGGATTTGCTCAGTGTGATCTTGTGGGTAAGAGCCAGAGCGTAAATTGATCTGGGAACTGTGGCTGGTTTCTTGGGACTGGAAGAACCCGTTAAGGGTAGGTGAGATTGGGTTCTGTAACCCCTCACCTGTGTGTTATGCCCGGGGCTGATTGGGGCACAGGAAGAGCTGGAGTGTCAGAGGGGTTTTGCTTGTGAGGCTTCTTGCTGGCCAGACTGGCAACTGAAGCACTCAGTGTGACTGATTTGTGGCCTTTTGGGGAAGGTCCCCAGTCTGGGGCTGTAAAGAGCCGTGAATTTGAGCAATTCACCCTGAGTGGACGCCCTCAGCCATGCCCAGACCTGGTCCGATCCATCACACATGTATAAAAATGAATACATTCATGAGACAACTAAGTGTTCACAAGAAAGTCTTTAAAATGCTACCAGACTATTTTTTTTAAATTTAACAGAAGAAGTGGGCTATGCCCACGAAAGCTCATGATACCATCTACATATTTTGTTAGTCTTTCAAGTGCTACCAGACTATTAGTTGTTTTTTAAGTTTTTCCTGTTACAGACTAACTCAGCTACCCCTCTGAAGCTAAATGTTCACAGTTTGGTCAGAGAATAAAAAACCTTACATTATATAGGAATAAAAACTGGACAGAACTGGGTTTAAGCCAAAATCCAGGAATTTGACATATGCTTTTTCTGTAATTCAGCTATCCTTATTTCACAATGGCCCTAGCAGCATTGCTATAGTTGAGGATGAATTAATATTTCCATTATAAATCCTAGGATTTAATATTCCAGCTTTATAAGAAGCACATTGAATCAAAACTTGGTAACAGAAGCAGTACATCATTTATGGACTGCTACCTAAAGTACACAGTATTCATTTCACTCCACTGGGGAAAGTACACAGAAAAAAATGTTGTGCTACTTCACTATAATTTGTGAAAATCACCTTAGAAAAGTGTAACACCCAGAACCCTAGAACTGTAACACAGAAACTATTAGTACTGCAGCACTTGCCTCAAGGGGAATTGGTTGCATTTTTTAAAAGAACACTAGGGGGCTCCTTCCCCCACCCCCTCCGCCCACTACACTCACCAACCCACCTCCCCTCTGGGGGTT